CAATGTACAGTAGGGTCGGGATATATCGGGAGATAGGGTCCAAGGATGTTCGCTATGTACTAAATCACAATATATAATTACATGTAATGAATGGGAAAAATAGGGTAAGGTTCTTGTGGCCAATAAAAGTGACTAAACTTGACATAAAATAGCAGTCTAAAGTTAGCAGAATATAAATTACATTGCTGGAATCCTTGTAAGACAGCGAATAATTTGAATCCAGACATCATATATTTTGCACAAGAGATAAAATTTTAGCCCTTTGTAATAAAGTGTACTAATTAATACTATAATTTTTATGTCTATTGCAAACTATAGCATGTTTATATTCAAACTAATCACTATCTTATAAGAATCCCAGCAATGTAAATTATATTCTCCCAGGTCTGTTGAGTGACATTTTATAAGAGAAAACTTAAAGTCACTCTTAAGGACAGATAAATAAATAAGCACTAGACCTTGGCATCAACTGTCAAACATATTACATCACCCCCATCTTCCCAGTCAGGGTTGGGTGGTTTTAGGCTTAAAGTTTTTATCTTATATAATATCACAGACTGAAGTTAGCAAAATATAATTTGCATTGCTGGAATCCTTGCAAGACAGCATAATTTGAATATAAACGTCAAATATTTTTGCAGAGACAAAAATCACACACACACACACACACACACACACACACACACACACACACACACACACACACTGGTAGAACCCTTCTTATTTTCATACCTTTGGTTAATTTCAGAATTCTGTGAGATAATGATGATATATAACAAGGGAACAATTAGTTTCATTATACAACACAAACGAACACAGTTCTGCCACATTTTATAGACCTGGCCAGCCCCTGTAGACCTGCAAGTGAAGGGGACTGTGCCCAAACATTACCATTGGCTTTGTCTTTAGTTTTTGATCACACAGTTTTGTTCAGTTATCTAAGGGGTTTTAAACTTTTCATCTACAGTGTACCTGTTACACTATCAGTGTTTTGTAGCATCATTAAATTTGTGGTCATATGTGTAGTCCATATACTGTATGTCAAATAAGAACCCTGATACTGAAATTGAAAATAAAGCCCAGTTAAATGAAACAAGCTTTTGGTCCATCACATAGACTACTCACCCTTACTATGGAAAGATAGTGGCAGGAGCTACCTTTACCTAACATAAGAGGGCAGAACCATCAGCCAAAACCTAACCTGGCTAAGAGTAAAAAAAAAAGGGGGGGGGGTCTGATGCTCCTTTAGGTTTAGGAATCCTGAATTTCCTTTGGTCGATTACCAGTCCAGAGACAAACAGATCACTCTCACCAAGTATGCCTTAGTCTGTAGAGCTCCTCAGAACAGAAACCTAGTACAGGTTGTACCTCTCTAGTCTGGCAACCTCGGGACCTGACCGGTGCCGGACCATGACTGGACCATGAAATTCACCCTTTTCCTGGATAGATAGTGACTTGTGCTTACGCTTGGAAGCACTAGCACCACTTTCTCTACTTCATGGTCTCTTTGAAGACATATTGAAGGGTTAAATGTCGTACAGTAGCTTCTCAAATTTGAGTTTTTAATTGAAGCTTTTTATTTCAACAAAAAACAAACAGTTTAAAATTTTGAAGGCGAAACTTCGAATTCGATGGGTTTGAGCGGCCCACCAACGTTCCAAGCCGATGCCAACACGTGTAAGCGTCATTTCTCTTATGTACAAAAGATTCATTTTGATTATTACTGAATGTCTTTTTGATTGAATTAATGTTTATGTGTGCAAATGAGCAATACAATTCATTAATAATCGTAGAATATTATACGAGGAAATGAGACAGCATTGTTTTAGTTGATTACAATGACTGACTGGTTCTACATATAAAACTAGAAAAAAGACCCTGGTTGTAGCTGTAGTAAAATTAATATGGTTGTTAGAAGTAATGTTATTTAATGTTAATAAATGGAACAATAAAGTAGCTACGATAATGAAAGAAAAGGAGATCAGTATGTGTGGTCTATGTGAAACTTATCGTCATTACTCTACATAAAATGAAAGCAACACTTATTTACCATTCATATATATTTTAATTAATGTTTCTGATTTTTTATTGAATTAATGTTTGTGTGTGCAAAATGAACAATACAATTCATTAATATCGTGGAATATTAACACGGGGAGGCAGGCGGCTGCGGCATTGTTTTCGTTAATGCTTACAAAATCAGTGACTGATTGGTTCTATAAAACTGAAGACAATAAGACCCTGATTGTAGCTGTAGTAAAATTAATGTAAAAAAATTAATATGATTGTTTGAAGTAATGTTATTTAATGTTAATAAATGGAACAATATAGGTAGCTAACCATTAATGGTAAAGAAGAAAAAATGAATTCTTGGCGTATGTAAGTGCGCACATGTATGGCTCTATACATTACTCTACATAAGAATATGAAAGCCTTACTTACTGCTCATATATATTGAAGGGTTTTAAAATGCTCTGTATAGACAAAAGCAGAGAGAAGCAACTGTGGGATGTAAACAAACCTTAATTTCCCGCGGCTTTGTTGTTTTGTATTTTTAGAGGGGTTAGCCCACCCGGGCATAGGTCACTGACCCACATTGGGGCCTGAGGGACAAAAATTTAATACTCCTGTAATAATAATAATAATAACAATAATAATTATTCAGATAAGTATAAAAAAAAAAGAAAAAAGTTGCCTACCTACCTATTGGAAAAACTAAAATCGTTCCGAACCATGGGAGTTTCCGGACCACAGAATGCCAGACTAGAGAGGTACAACCTGTATTAGCCACTGACCTCATAAAAAAATAATAATAAATTCTGAGAGGTTGTTATAAAGGAAGAATCTAAAACACACTCATAAGCCTTCTTTGGGCTGTACACACAAAGACACTCACAAACCATTGAATTATTAGTTGGAAATTCTATCTAAACCTTAAACCCGGTCTCAAAGAAGCCAGATAAAGGACCACAGTAAAACCCAACAACGAACTTGCCAAACTTCAAATATATCTCACTGTCTCAACATTACCTGAGAATATAAACCAGATAAATAATTCTATCCCTGTTCTGCTGACAGTAGTTCAGAGGAAAATTTGGAATACAAGTTATACTCTTAAGGAGTAAAGATGATATGGAATGAGAGAACTATGAGAGTACTGTACTGTAGTTATATTGTGGGTCTACAAAAGTTAAAGCACTAAGATTAGCAGATTGGATAAGGAAAATATTAGAAGTTATAATCAAACCAAAGAATCACTTACGTGATCATTTACAGTGCCATATTTCACACACCTCATGCTGTCAATGCATATAAGATTAGTCATCCAGTAAGTATGGGGTCTACAACTCACTCTTCAATTTCATACTCCTAACTGTACATGCACCGCCTGTGTCAGTTTAGTCACACCACATTCAAATCGTACATACGATATTTTTATCATGTTGAGTAAAGCAATGTATCGGCAGTTTGCACTTAGAGAATCAGCAAACCCAAGATTTCTGTAAAAGAAAATGTTACGTTTCATAAATTGAGCCAAATAATAGCCATTTAACCTCCCATTATGGAAACTAAATCAAATAAAACCTCAAAATCCATTAGATGTGGGACCCAATGCATCATTATTTTCCATTAATACCTTTCTTAACTACAGTATCTTAGCACCTCAGGGATACTATCCCATATCCTGCAGTAGAGAAACTCCTAAAATAAACACATGCATCCTTGGGTCACATTTTTTGTTAAACAATTGTATATCATCCCCCCTGTTCTACACACCGATTGAGGAGTAATCATTAGGGTCTTTTATAGTAATAGAATACATTTATTTTGTATGTCGTCCTAGTCCAGGGACCATATTACTAATCCTAATACTACTCAGAAAGGCCAATAAATTATCCATAGACCTGCTAAGCTAAGCTAGCGAAGGGAGAGTGGAATTGTCCAAACACACTATTGGTTGTGGTAAACATAATTTTATACTTTTATTTCAACTCAATTTCCTGTTCATGATATCCAGTAATAAAGAAACTGTGATGAGGTTGGCTTTCAGCTGAGAAAAATGTGCTCCAAAATATGAAACATCAATTTACTAAAGATTTTCAGGAACAGAAACTTTTTACTGATCGGGTTTATGCCTGTAAATATATCAAGCTTAGTGGTGCCTGTTCTGTTGGGAGAAAAAAATAAGGATTGTAAAAATGTTGACCTGGAGGTAAAGTTTGAAGTTTTGATGCTGTAGCCACAGCCATAGTGAGTGTTTGGAGGAGTAGAAAACAAATGCCAATAAAACACAACAAAGATTCCATGTAGTCACTGTCTGTTGTATTTCACTGATGATATGTGAGTTTTTAAAACTATAACTTCTATTAACCCCCAGACAAAATGTACTTCTTCCTCTGGGAGGAAGAAACAACAGGGGAAGCATTTAGCTACGGTAATTTAAGATGCAAACCAAACTGAGCACTATTGAGGAAGCCGCTGCCTGTTTAAGAAACTAATTTTTTTTCTGTTAATATTTCCTGCTAAGTTAGGGGAGCACCTCATATGGCAGGAAATATTGTAGGTAATTTGTATCCTCTATTGATAAATATATTCTAACTGTTTACTTGACTTAACTGTACACTTTACCACTTCTACTGCACAATTCATACAGGTAATGTACATTATTTGCAATACAGCATATATCATTTGTAGTCAATTTGTATTTTATGTTAATATCACTGAGCTGAGAATTTTAGGTCAGGAATGTATATTTAGATAATACAAATACATTAATTGGAAAACATGCTTTGTTATGTATTTTTCATTAACATATTGCTTAACAGTAATGGATGTTTTACCACAGATCATTGACTGCAAAATAAGCAAACTAATTTTTCCCATTCAACTGTTAAGAATCATGAGAATGTATGATTATCTCGAGGGAATTTAGAAGGTAACCTTGCTCCACTGTACAGTACTGAGTTTACTACAGTACACACAATAAAACTCTTACTTACCTCAGTCTCTCTTCCCAAGTAAGCTCTACCTCCTTCGTCTTTTTGATCGAGTCTTCCTGAGCCTCTCTGTTCAGCTTCTTCTGCCTGCAATTAAAAACATCAAATATTATACATGCAGTAATTACAAGCCAATCATAACATACTATTTATATTTAGACCTTCATGTAGTGGTCTTGGTAAAGTTTTAGAGACAAACTTACACTAAAACTTCCATAATTCGTAACTCTATACAGTACTATTTCATAATTTTCCATAATTTGGTTATTTTCAGACCCTTACATCTGATTTTGACCTCTTGTGGATTATACAAAAAATAATACAATATAAAATTAATAAATTAATGTAGGACATACTATCCTGTACCCCAGAGGCTGTTGGAGTATTCTGCATTTTATGGTCAGTGGAAGTGTGTCTACCACTCAAGACAAACTTTTTGCATTTGGTGCATACAATACAATACAATACAATACAGCAGTTTTACAAGTCTTATTTACTGTGAAGCCCTTTTTAGTATGGTATGTTGCATCAAAAGTGTTGGTATGCCTGATTGCAACGCATATTTTTAACTCAGGAATACCTCGCGATTCCCAACCCCGCTTATTCACAAAGCAATTTTTTTTAAATATTAATATCCATGGGGATAGCATGTTGCCATAAAAGAAGAAATATGAAGAGCATGGGTGTGTATGTGTAAAGTGAATGTATGTGTGGGCATGGCATGTCATCATGTTAGATTGTCCCTCTAGCTCTCACCCTATGAGGCCAAGCTGTGTTATTGTTATTTTCAACTTATAATTTTGGTTGGATACACATAATTTTATTCAATTCTGATTACTCTGTTACATGCACAAATAATTATTCATATGGAATTTGCCCCCCACCCCCGAAAAAAAATAAAAGAAATGATTATCATATGATCAAAAACATAGGCATAACACCTCAAATTCTCTAGTTGTGCATTTGAAACAATGTCAACACTTAACCAAAGTGGCAGGATGCCATGATTATATACATGTAAGGTGTTAGATAAGGCAATATGAGAGGCCATAGAAGCAACATATATTTGTAGAAATGAAGTATCAAACCATAGGGAGGGTTTTATGTGCTGGTCGAAGAATGCCACGGACCTACTAGCATTGACGTCATGCAGTACGGTGGTCAGGTCAGGTAAATGACAGCCAATAAGGCTCCAACATGACAAGGTGTTCCGAGAGGTGAGGTGTACCAGGGGTACATAAGTCTGACTTCCTCTACTTGTTGTATTCTCTCTGAAGATGGGTTCTGTGTAGCCCAAAACATTAGAGTAATAAAGAAAGTTAGCTCAACCCTGTGTTTCCCTGACACCATCTAACCCTGCTGTCTAAAAAGTAATTTTGTGTACTGTACTGTACTGTATTTTCTGGGAACTGCAGTCCCATACTCTATATTTCCTATTGAAATAACGGTATCCCCCAATTTATGATAGGATTGTGATCCTGGAAACACTGACGTAAATCAGGAGCCTTATAAAATGGGTTTCAATGGGATACGTTTCTGACCTGTCGGACACAGATATGTATCACAGAAAAAGCTATCCTACACTAATTAAATAAAAAATAAAAAAATTGAACAACACTCACCATATTAATAACAACAAACCTGCCACTTAACAATTTCCAACCTTGTCTTCCTTGATGCATTGGCTTTCCTAGAAGTGGGAGACTCACCAGGACACTTGTTAGCCATTTTCAAAGTTATTAATCACTTCAGTCCTCAAAGTAGAGCAAAATGTGAATGACAGTGTTTTCTAATAACGGCAAACATCACAGCAATCACAAGAAAACGCAACATTGGTTACAGAAATGATATATATATATATAAACATAAATAATTTTATACTACACTTAATCAGAAAAGGCAAATCTCATAAAATCACATTGCAAGTGTTGTTAGCAAACATATCATGATGTTGAGTCAATATACTAATAAGATAGGTTCTGGAGCAAGTCACTGTGGTCCAGAGTTATATTACACCATCACTGAACAACCCAGTACAGTAGTAGTAGAGCTTAAAGTCACAAGTTACACTTAACCATCCATAAAGTCAGAGCAAATGATGAGCATCTCCAAACTTTATGAAGGTGTGACGAGATCAGAAGCCTTGTTCCTTACATTAATGTTTTATAGCTCATGTCATAAACAAAAGCAGACCTGAGGTAATGTGTTTATGTCCAGTTAAGCAAAACCCTTCAGGCTTCTTCCATTTTAAATACTCTACTGTACCTTCAAACCCAATGATATCCTTCAGTCCAATTTTCAAGGTACTGTATAGTATTCAACTTACTATTTGTACTGAGTTGCTCAATCCTAAAGTATGGTTATAAAATAAGAATACATTATATAAAAGCAGCTACTTATTAACTTCACAATCATAAATCTCAACTAACTAACTATATGGTCATAATTTTTTACCCTCATTTTCTCTCACCTGTCTGACAATCATCTCATCTTTCTCCAGAACAGTGTGAGACAACTCTGCTACCCTCTTCTCCAGGTCATGTTTCTCTTCAAGGCTACTCTCTAAACGAGTTTTCAGTGATTCTTCATTATGTTGCATCGTGGCTTCTAATTCCTCCACCTTCAACTCATAATCTTCTGTTCTTTTCTTTATAAGACACTCTTTATTCTTCAACTCATTTTGTTGCTCCTCAACAGTCTTTTCCAGTTCAAGAAGCATAGACTTCTTTTCATTAAGTAAACTTTTAATTTTGTCTTCCTTCTGTGTCACTATGGATTGCAGCTCACATAAACACCGTTTACTTTCTTGAACCTTCTTTTCCAGCTCTGCAATTACTTTGTTCTGTTCATTAAGTATTGCATCCTTTTCTTTAATAAACTTGTCATAACTATTTTTCAGCTTTGCATAACTATCCTTTGCTTTAATCATCTCAGTTTCAAAAGATTCTGAAACTCTCTGCATTTCTTCCCTCGTCAACTTGTTCTTCTCACTCTGCATTGTCATTTCCTCCATCAAACTCTTGTTCTGCTCTTCTTTATCTTTGAGCTCTATTTGTAATGCAGGAACCACTTTCTTGAGATCCATTACTTCCCCATGTGCCGTTTTTAACTCATCCTGCAGTTTGTTCTTTTCCAGTTTCAGTTTGTCAATCAGTGCATTAAGTTTATTCTTCTCTTCGACTACAGCTGTGAGTTCCACCTCACGGCTGCTAATATCAGTCTCCAACTGAACAACTCGGGCACTTAGTTCACTATTTCCCGCATGCATTTTCTTTTCAAAATTCAGAATTTCTGTCTCTTTAGCCTGTAAATTGGTCTTCATATCACCGATATCTTTATAAAATATTTTATTCTCATTTTGAAGGCTTTCTATTTTCAACTGTAATTCTCTGTCATTTAATTCAGTTTGTCGTAACATGGAATTAAGGCTTTCAATTTTTTGCTGACTCTCATCAGTTTTTAACTTTAAACACTGGTCTAGCTCAGAAACTTTCCTGCTGAGTTCATTATTGATTAGATCTTTTTCTTGCATTTGTTTTGCCCAGTCACTGTTGAGTTTATTCATCTTTTCTGTCACCAAATTGAGTTCTGTAAAGGCTTCCTGATTCACTTTGGTCACATTATCCTTTGCCTCGGTAAGTGTCATGCTTAAGTTCTCCTTTTCAAATTTCAAACTTTCCATGTCCTTTTGAAGAGATAAAAGTGTCTGGTCAACATTCTCTTTTTCAGATTTTAATTGTCCTAATTCTTTTATAGTGTTTTCATATTCATGCTTTACACACACAGTTTCTTCAGCTAGTGAGCTTAGCTCTTTTTCCATTTTGTCTCTTGTTTCATTTAGTTCTTTACTTATAAATTCCTTCTCCCTAATACAACAGTTAATTTGATCTTTCAAGTCAGAATTTTCCTCAATGCTGGTCTTTAACTTTACTTCTAGACCAGCACTTTGTGCTTCTAAGTCCATTATATTAATTCTTTTTTCACTTATATCTTTCAAAATGTTCTCTTTATCTATTTCTGCTTGTTCCAAAGTTGCTTTAAGTTCCCCCTTTTCTTTCTCACTCAGCTCTAAGCTGTCAGTCAATTGTCCATTGGCTTCTTTCAGGGCCATTATCTCGTGGGAAGCAGCCTCATTAATGTCAGCAGAACTAGTGTGAGCTTCTTGTAATTCTTCCATCTGCTTTTGAAGGTCCAACTGACTTTTCTTCAACTCATCTAGTTTTTCCTTCTGCTGCATCTTACATTCTGATAATTCCTTTACTTGCTCTTCAAGTCCATTTTTAACATTGGTGAGATCATTTATCTCACCCTCAAGTTCTACCTTGACACTCTCCAATGTTATTAACTTTTGTTCTACCTCCATTTTGCCACCTTCCATCAAATCATTGTTTTTTCTAAACTCTTCATTATCTTTCATTAGTTGTTGTACTTTCTCCTCAAGCTGTGCTTTAGCTTGGTTAATTTCTGTCAGTTGAATTTCGAGTTCAGTTCGTGATTCCTTAAACTCAAGAGTGCGAGCCTCTAGCTGGTGGATCCTGGCCTCTACCTCTTTTTTGATGGCTGCTACAGACTCTTCTCGGTCTGCATCGTCATCTTCTTGTGCTGCAATGTTGGTCCCAAGTTCCTGCCGAAAAAAGTTAAATTAGTCTAAATACCAGAGACTTTATCTTATTCTAAATCCAGTAACACAAGAAAGATGGAAGGTGATTCTTCATTCATACCATCTACCCAGTATTCTATTATCTTACCAGCTAATAAGGGACATTAACCCATCAAGTGTTATGGCGATGATGTCTGTCATTCACTTCCAGTACCAAGTACAGTACAGTACAGTACAGTACAGTACAGTACAGTACAGTACAGTACAGTACAGTACAGTACAGTACAGTACAGTACTGTACAGCACAGCACAGTATAGCATAGTACTTGTATAGTACAGTACAGTATAGTATAGTAAAGGTATAGGATAGTATAGTATAGTATAGTATAGTATAGTATAGTATAGTATAGTATAGTATAGTACAGTACAGTATAGTATAGTATAGTATAGTATAGTATAGTATAGTAGTATAGTATAGTACTTGTACAGTACAGTACAGTACAGTACAGTACAGTACAGTACAGTACAGTATAGTATAGTATAGTATAGTATAGTATAGTATAGTATAGTATAGTATAGTATAGTATAGTATAGTATAGTATAGTATAGTATAGTATAGTATAGTATAGTATAGTATAGTATAGTATAGTATAGTATAGTATAATATAGTATAGTACAGTATAGTATAGTATAGTATAGTATAGTATAGTATAGTATAGTATAGTATAGTATAGTATAGTATAGTATAGTATAGTATAGTATAGTATAGTATAGTATAGTATAGTATAGTATAGTATAGTACAGTACAGTATAGTACAGTACAGTATAGTACAGTACAGTATAGTATAGTACAGCACAGTACAGTATAGTACAGTATACTGTAGTATAGTATATACAGTACAGTACAGTATAGTATAGTACAGGTATAGTATAGTATAGTACAGGTACAGTACAGTACAGTACAGTACAGTACAGTACAGTACAGTACAGTACAGTACAGTACAGTACAGTAAATCATGGGTAATGTACATAATGTCACCATCAACCGTACCTAGCAGGAAGATGGCAATGTAAGAGATATTGTGGATAAATGCACAGATATCTCGGTGAAAATGTTTACAGTATTAAGTCAAACAACACACTGATGCTGGTGCTTAACTATACACAGAGCTTACAAGTTAAACACACTACACTAACATTTCTTCTAAGTACATTTTCCATCATCACCAACAACGTTTTACAGCCAATTTCCACACTTGTGTTGGTTAGCTGTGATTATCTTCTCTTCCTCACCAGATATTAATATATTTAAATATAAATGTATTCACTACATATCACTTGGGATGCTCAACTGCACTAGTCTAGCAAGGTCAAACATGCAGTAATGCCTAGATTCATATTAAGTACAGTATTTTAATATCTGGTGGGTTTGTATTGAAAATTGTAATTTATGAAATACAGTACTGCAGTACAATACCAATAAAAAAGAAACAAATATAAAGCACTTTACCAGAAGAGACGTTTCTTTTTCTTCTAATTCCTGCTGTTTGATCTGAAGTTCTTCCTGCCATCTGTCCCGTTCGTCTTCCAGTTGCTTCTCTATTGCTGCAGATGCTTGTTTACATCTCTCAGTCTCTGCCTCCTTCACCTGCAGCTCCTCAAATAGTTGTTTCTTTGTCTCTGCCATACTCAAGGCTGATGATTCCATGCTGGACCTTAGTGAATCCAACTCCTTCACATGTTCCTCCTGAGGAAAATACATGATCAACATAAGAGTAAACTAAAGTTCTGTACATGCCAAATGCCCAATCCAGAGCCAAAGTGCTCTCACCGATGGTAAGGTTACCTAGCGATTCTCTGTTTTACTTACAAATCATCACTTTTTCCTCCTTTGACACTTTAGCACCTTGATCACTATTACTAATCATCATATGATTTTCTTTTGGAAGGCATGGCCGTGAGAATAATAAGAAATTGCTTGAGGAAAACAGACTGTAGGTGTTTTGTTTACGAGCACACAACTAAAAATGCTGATGGCTTGAGATGCACAAGTTGCCTTGAGGAACTTCAACAAGTTTGGAGAAGTTTTGACATGTAGTCATGTACAGTTTAACAGTACAGGTGTAAACTACCAACTCATACAGCTTATGATGCCACTCTTAAGTACTGTAGCTTGAACCGTCAACACTAAATTTGTGAATAACAAGGGATAAGTGTACAAGTCCAACAACCTCTGAATGTTTAAACAAAACAATGAACTCTGAAACTGCAAAGGCTTTTTGTAATTATTGCATGGAGTTTAAATTTTGGACACAAACTTCCTATTTCCTGTACTGTAAGCAGATTAATAAAAAGTCATTCCTGTATTGAAATTCTACTGTAATTTTCTAATGCAATAAGAACCTTTAGAATGTCAATCTGTTTGAGTTTATCTTGAAGCTGGGTGGTGGCAATGTCCCGTTCCTGTGTCAGTAAAGCAATGCGTTCCTTGTTGCCCCGAATATTGTCCATACACCGTGCCAATAAGGATTTGTGTTTGGCTACATCACCTGCAACATAAAATATGCAATATTAGGGATAAATACAAAAAATTATTACATTTCAAACAATTCTTCATCTTTGTAATGAAAGGCATATAATGGCCATACCATGATTTGCTTCAACATGAATATCATACACTATACATACATTACTGTACTCTAATCTCCTTAAATATGACATTCTTCATTTCATATTTTAATACAGTACAGTACAGTAATTTCAAATAATTATTTTAAACCCTGTAAACAAACTCCTGGAGGTGTTGACACTGGTGTCTGGGAAGAACAGGGCTGGCAAGCCATTGAGATTGGATTCAAATCCTTGCTGGGGAAGTAATACAGGAGTGGTAACACGCATAACTCTTACCAATATGTCAAGGGTTCGAGCTTCGGCCCGGACACACGTGAGAAGGGTGTTATCCAGTGTGACCCTACCAAACACAACAGGTCTCCTGATCCCCGGTATCCTCCTGTGCTAACACTGAATAGGGCGCCCAAATGGCTAGTAAATTGATAAGTGGCGAATATGATAAAAAATATATATATATATATACGAAAGAGATACGTTCCTGAAAAACCTTTCGAAAATTGATTTTTCATAATTGAAACCATTTTACCCACTGACCCCTATTATATAAAGGGAGGTACATTCCTATAAAAAAAAATTCCCCAAATGTGAAAATATACATTTCTATATTTTTAAGCAATATTTTGTGAGAAACAGCTGATCAGCTTAGATCCTTCACCAACCCAGGCTTACCACAACATCTGTCTTCAGCACTTTGTAAATTAGTACAGTACTGTAGTGTATTTATTCATCATCACTTAATAAATAATATTATAGTGTATTTATCAGCACTTAATGGGTAATATTGTAGTGTACAGTACTGAATAGTGCATCTGAAAATACCCTGGTTTATTCATTAATCAGTTGTCTAGGTGTACAAGTCGCCAAATGGAGCTATCATGTATCACTGAAAGGAAGTAAATAACGTTGTTAGGGAGGTATCTTCATATCAAATACTATACAGTGTGTTATAGTGACCCCTGTTGTAAGCTGATTTGCTGAAAGCTCTCACACGAACACATCCTGAGTGAATACCTTCCGATACAACTTATCCTTTTATTTTCAAGTTAAATTACAAATTATTTATTGTATTTTTTCTCTATTATTGAAGATGTTATATTAATCATGATGATTCCATACACCATAAGAGGCTGATCACAAAATATAATACTTAATCAATAAAAAAAAAATGACGAATGCAGCAATACCCCTCTAAAACTCACCTTCCTTCCAAATCTCTGAGGATTTTCCAGAGATGAGAAACAGCTGCAATCTTCAGGATACTTTCCAAAAACTGAAGGAGGTGATCAGCCAGACACAGAGCTACAGCTTTTGGTATAATGTGTGCTGATAAACCAGGCACAACTACCATTAATTCTTGTGTACCACAATTTGAGCTGCTAATACACCAGGAAGGTTGAGGATGATTCTTTAAGCCACTGAGATTGGGCTGAATAATTATAAGTTGTCATAAATAATGACAGAATGTATTACAAAGAGCCACCAGGTGGTGACTAAAAGCCAGAATTTAACTGTTGGAACAGGGATAATATACTGTACATATATTGCTACCTTGAGTGAATGAATAACAACAATTGAATGGAAAGTATGTGCTATATTATAGTCCCACCTGGAAATAGCAGAAAAGGGTTTTTAGGGTAAAAAACGAAGAAGACAAAAGAAGCAACATCCCAACCTTTCATACCTTTAAGTTTCTCTATCACTTCTTCAGCTTCAGTGTTAATTGTAATTGCAGTTGAAGCTGACCCATGGGATGCAACAGACAAATTGTCAGCAATGGAAATGTTATCTGCCAAAGACACACTCTCAGTTGTTGATACATTATCTGTTCCAGATGAATTGTCGCCTGCCGAGACACTGTCACCTTCATCCTGATTCTTGATGAAACACACATCCTGCTGAATTACTGCCGATTGCTCATTGTTCTGAGGAGGTGCAACTGTGATATTTAGATCCCCTGTGACACCTTCCTGTAGAATCTTCACCTGTGGGGAAAATGCCAAGTCAGTTGTTGACAATGAGTACACAAAAGTTGTCAAAAGATTAATTTTTAAACAATTTTAAAACAGCCAAAAAGGACATGTGCCAACAATGATACACAGAAACTTAAGCCAGAGAAGATCATCACACATCCCTGAGGCACTTCACAGTGCTTTCAATCATTGTTTTTTATCAAGTGTGATACAGTATAGCCTTTTTAGGCTTAACATATACAGTATCAATAAACTGCAATGAAATAAAATAATATAAAAATTTCTTACAACTTGGGTACTAAAAGAGGATTGATCCGGAAATCCTATTTTCTGACCGAGTTTGTACCAAGCGATACATGTATGATCCCACCATGTTGATGGGGTTAACAGTATACCCAGGTAAACCCACAGACAATGGTAGCTCAGACTAATTCAATCATAAATTACACCTTCCTGCAATAAATGAAGCTACAGGTATAAGAATTTAAAACCAGCAGACACTACTTAGGTTGTCAGCTGATGAAATTTAACATAAAATCAGCTGCATGCACCCTGCTTGTAACATGTGCTCAAACACAACTGACAGTTCCAAGAGCCATCCTTTGAGTCCAGCTGACATCACTACATATCTATGGGGTGAGAGGGAGGGTTAAGAGTTATTTGGTCTAAAGTCATTCAGTAAATGGGAGTAAATTAAAGCTCTATATCCTGATGAAACATGCACCACCTTAGGGGAGAAAACTACTCTTAGCATAAACGGATACAATGCACTCACCTCACTGCGTCCAACAGCCATTCAGTACTACTGCACATAGTGTACTTGGAAAGGTCACCAATGATTTACTACCTCTGATCTCTTGTAGCATAGTACAGTAATTACAAAGTTTATCAGAGTATAGAGCAACCTAACACATACAGTACCTGTTTGCATAAGTTATGAAAACTCACCAGAAGGAATTAATAGTAAAACAATAAAATTTTATGTGATCCACCTATAGCATTACATTATCTTCAAAACAGGATCAACATTTAAAAGCATATACGTACATACAGTATACCCCTTCTAGGTGGCAGGAAAAATAAGAAACAATGAACTAAGAGCCTTGGGGCTAGTCTTAGGTGTTATGTTCTAGTCTATCTGTTGGAACATATTAATGCAAACTTCAGAGAGAACTGATAGTAAGTCAAGGACAACCATATGCCACTCATCATAACTCTAACTTAATTATGTGAAGACAGATACTGTACTGTACTGTACTGTACTGTACTGTACTGTACTGTACTGTAATGTACTGTACTGTAATGTACTGTACCCATTATCTGGGGAACAAAAAGTTATTTCATGAGATAAGCTGAGTTATTTATTGTTAACCACATTCCCCTCAGGCACAGTTGGGTCACATTAACCTGTGACACTGAGATCACTGGTGGTCTCTAATTAGTACTGTACTGTGCATCATTATCTAACACACAACAATTTCTGTGATATGAAATAAACAAGTGGAAATCACCCTGTATTTTAATCTGAACATACAGTACTACTATTAAAATTATAACCAGAGACTAATGCATTAGCTCTGCATACTGTATCAGCACAGTCCAGGAAGGTCCCTGACAGGGAAATGATTGTTCCTGAAATTGTAGGTTTTGGCCAAGCAGGGCGGGTGCAGCTGATGGGACATCATGCCTTGTCAACTTCAGCCTCAAGTGGTTATTGCTGCAGCTAAGCTCCTTTTTAAGAAGTTGGTTACACCAGGAGACCATAATTAATTCACATAAAATCTCAGCTGCAATTGTCTAGGGGTTTACCTAAGTTTTTAACACCATAGACTTGATGGCATACTACAGAACTTGCTTGATTATGAAACCTTTTGATGCAATCTTTCCCAAGCATTATACAGTGTTGCATTCTAAGGACATTAAAAAAGAAAATCATACCTCCACAATTTCAGAGTTAAGTTTGTAGTCATATAATCAGTGAAATCTAATCTGGACCTAAATAACATAAACATCAAAGTTCATAGTAACTTTAACAATAGTTTTCATATTTAAGTTTTTCTGCTTTTCACTCTATATTTAGTTATGTGTATTTGAGTCTTATAATCAGTTAAATTAATTATTTTGCCTAAATTTAAACAAATCATAAAGTGCTATTAACCACCTCTCCTTAGATATTCAAGTCTAGTTCTATAATCAATATATGAAACAAATTACATGAGTATATTTGGTATCTCCCATAATAAAAACAAACAAGTGCATGCATACAATATATAAAAAAAAAAAATTGCAAAACAACAAAGTACATCTAGAGGTAAAGATCCGACAAATAAAGTAAAATCATTTAACTGTTCACTGTCACCTTCGTCAGGAGCGTTGATATCTTGTGCTCCCTTTCCTCCAGGTCAGCATTAAGCTCTTCCTCTAGATGGGCTTTGGCCTGCTGCTGAAGGACGCACTGTTCTTGTAGTCCACTCACCTACAAACAGCCACAGTCAACCCTTAACCCACTAAGTTTCAAACCCTTCGAAAGTGTCATCAATTAAGTGTTTAATCTCTCGAGTACATGTCTTATCTTTAATATAATTTATGAGAAGATAGTGAGCCTCAGGTGCATGATTCTTTCAGCAAGTAATCCACCAGTCATGACCTCTTATGCTTATTCACTAGACTGAAACACCCTCACCAGTGTCATCCCAAGAATATACAGTACAATCCATTAAAAACTTTACCACTAAAATATATAAACTATAAACTGTATTTCCAGTGTATAATTCTTACTCCCAGAGTTTAAACACCCTCTTCCGTTAAAGAGGGTCGTTGTGTTTGAGAGTCCTGAAGGACACCGCAGTACAGTACTTGAAGGGGTGGCGTAGAGGTAAAATTAACTAATTCCAATATCATAAATCAATTTTATTGGAATTAGTTAATTTTACCTCCACACCACCCCATCAAGTACTGTACTGCGGTGTCCTTCAGGACTCATTTTTTTTAAACGCGGGTTGAAACATGACGACCCTCTTCAACAGAAGAGGGTGATTAAAACTCCGGGCGTTAGTACTGTACAGGATCAAAGAATGTTACAAACTTCATTCTAAATAGCATATCCTGGGTCTTAAAATTTTTTGAGGTTTGACTTTGGTCCCTGTAGAGCAAGATGTGACCTAATCACACCACATCTCTGTGGTTCCTACAAAAATATTATTACTCCTAGCAAATTTCACTGAACCCACAGCATATCAAGTGACTTACCTTGTTTTTATATTCAATTACATTTCTCTTGATACAGCAGACTCACTAAAATAAATTACCTCTGGTATAACTATCTAATTTTATTTTCTATATATCTTGAGACAAATACATCACATATTCATGGGTACAATCACCCTGCAAAATAAAGATCTCCTGATAACACTAAATGTTGGAAAAGGATGAACTCTACATATATAGAAAACCGATACACACACAATACATATGCGTACTATGGTGCACCTCAAATCCTCTAATTACATTTTTCACATATGTAGCAAAATCCTGATGCAATTTCACCAACCATGATGCACCTCACAAATGAAGCAGCATTATCTTGTCCCACCTAAACCAAGAAGCACCTCATCATTCCTAATATTCCTCTCACATGATGTGGCACCAATCTTTGGCACCTACACCGGCGGCAACATCTACCTCTAACATCTACATACACTAACAACCCTTAATAAACCTCTGTGACTACAATAGGAAGCTAAAACCTCTTCTATCAACCACCTACACCCCATAACAAACACCCTCCTCCAGACAATATACAGAATAACCTTCACCAGATATCCTCAATCCCTAATCACTCTCCTCAAGGAAATGAGAGAACAACTCACCAGGCTATGTTGTGGAGAGACAAACCTTCTGTTAACCAGCATCAACATAAAATATAGTACAGTATGTCAACAGCACTCATCACACTATGATTCATCTACCCTACTCAGTACACATTTAACATTTACCAAACACAGTCAATTCTTCAACATAACTAACACAAAAGATCTCTAGGAGCAACCACCTGTTAATGACAAATACCTAAGGTCCATTGGCTTCCTTTCCAACAAAAACAGGAACTACAACAACACTTATGCTGCCCCTCAATTTTCTCTGCTTCAAAATTTCCATATATTTTAGCTCTATAAATCAAGAAACCCCAAAGGACTCAAAACTGCACATTAGGGTGCTCCAAAAAAAAAAATTGCATTCTGAATTAGTTCTCCACCTTTTCCCATTCCAATAGTGCCCAGTAGCTCTCCCAAAATATCTTAGCCTTCTAGCTCAACAGGAAGAGTTGGCTCCAGGGGCTGGTTGGTATTTTACCGAGTGTCCCAACATGAATGACCCCAAAGTAAACATTAATAACAATAGAACAAATTTCAAAGAGCAACGTGACCTAGATACATGTGAGTTTTGTTAGAACCATTAAAAACGATTCCAATCACTACACATGCGTGTGGCACATAAAAGAAAACACACATACTTTCCCTGTGTCTTGGGTGATGACCCTCACTTTGCGCGCCGCTGTCACCATTCCCGCCAAGTTATTTGATACTACCTCATCTAATACTGTACTGGAAGATGACGCTCATCATGGTCAACAAGGAAAGCCCCATGCCTAGCGTGACTACCATAAGGAGGTCAAAAAGAGGAAATACACTCTTGAAATGAAACAAAAGATGCTTGCTTGCTTGCTTGATTGATTGATTGATTGATTGATTGCGGCAATTACAGTCTCTCCTCGACTTACGACGGAGTTCCGTCCCGACGACCAGGTCGTAAATCGAATTGGTCGTAAGTCGAAAATGCGAAAATAATACATAGAAATTCTAAAATGGGTGTCTCTTTTTCTTCTCAGCACCACGAGAACTCTCACTTTTACGCTTGCCAGCCATTTTAAAGGGAATTACAAACGAAAATTTTGTCAGTACACAGCGCGATCACTAATGTCGGGACTCGAAAATACGTAATGTGAAAAATATTTTATACGACCATGGCCGTCGTATGTCCGGGTCGTCGTAAATCGAGGAGAGACTGTACATACCTGGTGATGCAACAGCTTAGGTCATAATCCACTGAATTAAACTAAAAGCTTAGAAGGCTAAAATAACAAATATAGTATGTAATGCATGGTAAAATAAACCTTAATAATAAATGGTATAGAACTTTTGTAAAAAACATTTAAACATTAATAGCTAAAACTCAAAGCTTGTGTAGAAGGCTGGCTTACTACACAAAGGGGAAGACATCCCTCCCCCCAGTACCAAAGAGACAGTAAGACCTGTCCCCCCCCCCAAGCACTCAGAGAGGTAAAAAAAAAAGTGTTTCTATCGTATTTAAAATGTAATTTATCAAAAAATGTATAGACACTTTTGAGTAACAGTGACTCAGTGAGTGAGTGGGGTGGCCACATCCAGACCATGAGGGGTATGGCTGGTGCCCCAGCTCCCTGACCAGAGTGTTGAGTGCTGAATACAATATTGACAGGACAATAGAACGAAGCCATGTAGTTTATATGAAGAGTGAAAATAACCAAATTTATTTAAAGTTAGAGAAGGCAGTAGACCCAGGTGTGGTAGAGGATAACACAGTGTTATTTGAGGAACATATACTGTAAACAATGAAACAAACAAAATGATAGTCCTGATCCAGCAAATATTCTTATCACACTGGGCTATAAAAACTGCTAGTATAGGTCTGTACAGTAGTATGTTACACTTAATACTGTACCTACATTATAAATTTCCTCATGAAAGTATCTTTCCCTAAAGGATGGAAATATTTAGCACATATGTATTGAGAGAATGACAATGATCAAGAGAATCTAATCACTGTAATGTAAAGAGGGTACATCAAATCAATACAGATCCAGGATTGAGGAAAGGACAAAAAAAAAGACCTTATCCCCACACCAGGGTTCATTACAACAATTTCCCCAAAATCACATTCCAGAGTTTTTCGTCTTCAAAGGGAAGGACCTTGCCTGTGACTGAAGTGCTGCATGGTCATCTCAGGACTGTGGATTGCCATCTATTCTACAATACTGTATATGCAAGACAGTTCATGCACAGCAATATTCAAAATACTTAACTACAAATCATGCAAAGTTAATTAGAAGATACCAACACAAGAACTTCTGCACCAAACAATTAGCACAATAAATATTATCTACATTCATAGATACGATTACCTAGAAAATATCCAAACACCATAACAATATTTACATTGGCTAATATTCCATCTAAAAAAATACACCAATTTCCAGTCACCTGATTTGTCTTAATATCAATAAATGGTGTAGGTAAAAATTTACAGAGGTAGCTAATACAATAAAATATTTGTGGCTCGACTATCCAGCCTTCAAAAGTATCTGGCACTTCCAGCAGAAAGATTAATATCTATTTCATGTGAGCTGTGGAGATTGAAATTTTACTGAAAATTAAAATGGCGTGCATTATGTTGTTTCCAAAAGCTGTGGCTAGTACTGGATCCTAGTGGCAGTGTTAACATCTGTGTACTGTACTGTACCTGCATGCATTTGGATGCTAGATTCTTATATATCATCACCAAACCTTGTATTTGTTGTTGTTTTATTGCCAAGATGTTTTCCCTTAAAATAAAAAAAACACATCTAGAAGGTCCTCTGAGTCATTTTCTCAAAAAGTTAGCACTTAAGTGCTAAGAATGAAGAAACAACATGTGATGGTTTGTGAGGTTTGATGTACCAACAGCCAATTGTAATAACAAGGTTTGAAAAGTAAACTTTTTTAATACCTTTGACAGTGACATTTATTCAATGTTGACCAAAAAGTAATGTGCCTAAATTAAGCCTTGGGTGACCAAGTGCAAAATTGGGTAAAAATCATATTAATAACTGATGATGCTACTGCAGGGTACATGGTAAATTCCAATGACCTTTAACCTTGACTTTTTTAAATCAATGGAGCAAGATGGCTGGGAATAAAATAATTACTGGAGAGTGGACATCTCTTTCACCTGTGAAAATTCTTACCAATTGACCAATAATTGCAGAAGCCTCCTACCCTGGACTGACCTTCAATAATGACCTCTGACTTTGAACTTTATCTGGTATTGACCATTAATGAACTTGACCTATGTTTTCATGTCAGTAATTTTTTTCTAAATTTTGAAGATATTTTTTCAAAAGAATCTGAAGTTAATATAAAAAACAAAATAAAAAAACATTCAACAAAAATTATTATGCCATAATAAGACTGCATCAATGTGGGGGTAAATAATAAGGAAACTGAAGAAGGGCATCCCAACTAGTTCCCAGGCAAGAGTATGTCATTGGAATATTGACAATCTATGATATTTTTTACCTTTGTTTTATTGTTTAGTCACTGTATCTATGAGAAACACACATTCTTCCCTCCATTTGCATTACAGTCTCTTTGCATTTCTGCAAATGAATCTTTTATTTTTGAACATCAAAAATTTTTAACTACAAGAGATCATTCACCACTGCATAGACTGAATGACCAAAGTCCATGTTTTGGCCCACACATAACTCAAAATGCATGCCAAACCCAGCAGTGTGAGAGCACAGTGCATCATGGGGGCAAGGTTAATAGCTGCACAATGTGTGACAACAATGATATCAGTTTGCACACACACAGTACTGTAGTGTCTATAAAATCAACTTATCTCTTGTATTCCCATATGACCATTCAACTACTTTTTATGGACATTTTGCTTATTCTATAACAGAACTCCCTAAATTTCTTGTCAGGACTTCTCCTCAGAAAGATGCCAATCATAAGGTGTGCTAACCAGAGTGTGGGGAGCATGATGTTTAACTTGACATACCTACTTCCCTACTTGCCATAACCCGACCTATTGATTCTAAAAGACTATAAATCACTGCTCCACTGTATAGAAATATTGCCTACATGGAGGAAAATTGTCACAACACTCATGTATTTGTCCCACTACTGAACACAAACTATTCATAAAGGAGGAACCATATATGGTGAGGCAGAAGTGAACAGAAACAATGGGACAACCAGTATATGAAGAGTCCACAGACATGAAGGAAGACCCTATAAGTCCCCTATGAAGATTACTGCATGTAGATAAGACAAGATCCTAAAGTAACAAACACTATATCTAGACACACAAGAGTATCTTTTCTGGGCCTTAATGCAGACAACATATCAGGATAAAACTACTACAGAATATCTATTAACAGACTGAACAACACATCATGAGTGGAAGACACATTGCCAGACTAGGATGGTCCTGCAAACATAGAACAGTACATCCACCAACTTCCAAAATGGGTGGTAGACAAATGTAAACAATCTTGTAATTTATATAACAAACTTCCACTAGTCAATGATAAAAGTGCATATAAATATTGGGAGAGCACTTAACTTCCAATAGGAGAAGATATGAGGTGCTCCGTACCACAACCTGCCATGTGCCAGTTATTTATACCACCATATTCCTCCACCCTTCCTCTATCCTGTCATACAAAATATCAGTCAATCAGGATGCTCCATCTTCCCTGCTCACCCATTCACATCCAAGGAAGATGCCGACATCAGCAACAACCTGGCAGATTACTCAGTTTGATGTACAGGTAGAAACTCTTTAGTCTGGTACCTTTGGAACCTAACCGGTGCTGAACCACAGAAATTGACCCGGGAACCCCTACCTCTCACACGACCGAGCGCTAATGCCTTTGTTATGTGTTAAGTAATCACAGAATTTGAGGAAAAATCATTTTAATGTGCTCGTGTGCCTTAAGAATAAAAAATATATTGTACAGTAGGGTCTTTGAGTACATGTATCCAAAGTACACGGTCCCGCTTCTACACATCTGACCCCCTAAAAATCTAGTCCTTTCAGGGTACTTTCATGCTAATTATCTCCCTTACTGGAATCCAGTGTTTTGGTACGGTATTGGATTTTCTAACTTTCAAATCAATTCAATCTTTAGATACTTGACCACAAATTTGCTTCCTTAGGAACTTGTTTTTCAACCCCCAGAACTGTTCACTAAACAGAGTTGCTCAACACCAGCACTGTTAGAAATATTATTCTTGTACAGTATCTCCTCACAGAAAAGTATTTGGACTTGAATTGGGTGTACGTACTTTATGTGATCCATAATGTCCCTCACTTTTGATACAATCACAAGAAAATTTACTCAGTTTTAAACAGAGAAGTATAAACCATAAGGGAAGCTTGGATGGTATTTATTTATGAATTTACTTTGGAATTTTAAATAACTCAGTGCAGTATTTCCTTCAAAGGAAAAATAACTAATGTCTATGACACTGAACTTGAAAATTAAGTATACAAGAAACCCTCAATAATTTTGGCCTCTATTATCCGTATTTTGGTTATTCCAGCCAAAATCTGCTCGACCTGGTGACCGTCCAGACTTCCCACAGTTTTCCTCCATCAGTTTGGCCCCACACTCCTCAGTCTCTCAGTTTCCAAGCAACAGTTGTGCTGCTAAAATCACTAGTCACATTGTTGCCAAAATATGAATTTCTAGTACCCCAAACCCTTTTTAAGATGTTATAATGGCCTCTAAGAAAAGTGCAGGAAGAAAAGAATGTTAGTTTAACCCCTACGCCCCGGGCTAGGGTGCTGCTGGCTGTACACCCCACACGGGGTAGATCGAGAAAAATTCACTTTTCCAAAAATAATTTTTATCCCTTTTAAATGATAAAACAATAAAAAATAAGTAAGAAAAAAATATATATTGACCCTCTAGAAACTTCCCTGGGGCCACAGTGGCGAGAGAGATAAGGGGACAGCTTGTTTTGACGGGGAGCGCTCGTGGTCACTACGCACTTAGCGGCCATTTTCTGCTTACCTTTGTGTCCGGGATTGCCAGTAATGCATATATTTACTGATCATAATACTTATTTCCTATAAAAAATTAATTTAGAATTTATATTAATTGCACTATTTTTCATAAAAAGTGCTCGGCGACACACACACAGTCTGTCGCCATGCTGTCTGGCTGTCTTTATGTTTGGTAGAGCAAGTAATGCATAGAAATAATTATCAGAATAATAATCCCACAAATAAATGCATTTATAACATAATCATAGCATAGTTTCCAGTAATACTACACTACAACTACACGACTTTTATCGTGAAAGGTTAAGGGACGACTCTCCATGACGACAGGCTAATGCGTACTAACCGCACTGAGCCCACCCACGATATGTCTGTGGGAAAAAGTAAATTTCTCCTCATTGTCTCGTGTTACTGACCTAACCTGATGTAATATCGGATCACCCATTGTATATAAACTCTTCTCTCATTTGTGGTGAAGGTGGGGTGAGGGATTAGTGGTCTTCTATTACTGACCTGATGCATTATCAGGTCACCCATTGTTGGGGTGAGGAATCAGTGGGTCTCATGACCTGAAGATGTCTTGAATAAAGACAAAAGTAATATACAGCACTGTGGTACAGTTCATTAAAAAACAATTTATTTTTTTTAAATATATTACCTTATTTATTATTAAAATATATACAGTACTGTATTGTCTTTAATGGGGATACTGTACAGTGGTCTAATCAGATCTGATATAGGCCTAACAAGAGCTAATAGTTATGAGAGATAACACTGTGAACGTGCTGAAGGTGGGGGAAGGGGGGAAATTGGCTGTTGCCACATTTGCCAGTTTGTTTTTATTTATTCACTACAGTACTGATACTGTACATTATTAAAATAATGTCCAATAACTAATTGTTGAATCTGGGGATAAATAAGCAGAAGATCAGTAAATTAATGCTATACCGCTACCCGAACTACCCATGGCTTTTCACGTAAGCTATAACTATAGCCACATTTCAACCAATCGCGTAAGCGATAACCACGCACAATTTCAGTGCCCTGTAGCCATTTTTATATGAAAGCATTTAGATAAAAAGATTTAGAATTCCCCCCGTCCCCCCCTCAAAAAAAAAAACTAATAGTAAGGTAATACAGTATAAGGCCATGACGACTGGTGCCTTAAAGTTTTTAACTAACCAATTACAGAACACTTGTAGTCAGAGGTCACCAGATGATCACCTTATTAGTCATCATTACTCCCCCATCATCACATATGATGTGGAAAAAAATATATTTTCTAAATTTTTCAAGCCTCCACAGGGTTGATAATGGTAGCTTTTGAGAGGTTCTTCGCTGCCCATTTGGAATCAAAGGTCATCTGACAGTTAAGAAAGAGTACAATACCTCATCATTTGCTCACAATTTATAGTCATATATTTTGATATGATTACTCTACTGTATATATTTGATAAGATTACTCTTTTTTTACCCCAAAGGAAATATTAATGAAATGCTTGTGACCATTTCCTGTTTAAATTTTTTGTTGCCTGATTTTCTATTATTTAATTCAAATTAAGTCACAACCCATATACAGTATTGTACAGTAAAACATTTATCAATATTTAAATATTCACTTGGTTAAGTTAAGCATCTAATGATGAAACAATTGAAAAAAAAAAAAAACAGTAACACCACAAAACACCTCGGCCTGTCACCTTACATCCTTACCTACAGTTAGTTTACCTTAGTCTGGAGAGCTGTGATCTTGTGGTCCTTTTCCTCCAGGTCACTGCGAAGCTCCTGCTCCAGGTGAGCTTTTGCCTGCTGCTCTAATGTGCATTGCTCCTTCAGCTCACTCACCTATTCATTACAAACCAAAATTACACACATTTAAAAAGTTTTTTATAAAATATTTCATCAAAACATTCAAGTTGATATATTTGCACATTATATCCTTATTTAACCATATATCTCTAATTATGAAAAATTCACAACAGAATCATGAGTTTGTGACCGAGTACAAATTTTGTTATAATTATGGGGGAGAGGATGATCCCCATAAATATTGCACCTGTAATCCCTCTACCTGGTTTAAACCCTAATTGTAATTTCTTGATCACTCTTTCTATAACTTTCATAAACTGATCTAGTGGCTTCAGGGGTCTACTACTATATCTGTACAGTATTGTACAGTTGAGTTCTATGCCTGGCTGTATGTTTTAAACAGCTTTGTAGTATAGTTCTTACCTCACCCTGTTTACTTAAGACAGTTGTCATGGTCTGCTCTACAGAAGTTCTAACCAAGTCACTTGATAAATGACTCATAAGCCATAAATTTCACCAGATTATTACTGTACCTACACAAAAACTCTGGGTACATAAAATACATAATATCTGCCAATGCATTTTTTTTATATGCCGATTATCTGAAAACATACAGTACATTATTTAATCAAACTCTTCAGACTGAATTAGATGTACAATATCAATATAAAATAAGGGGATTTATGTAGACTACAGTATTATTAATGTGATAATAACAGTAACATCACACAAATGGTCAAAAGTAGAGAATAAATAAAGTGTCCATGAAATAGTACCATTCACTTACTTTTCGCAGAGCTTTATCTTGTGTTTTAGTGAGAACATCTCGCAATTTGTCTGATTCTCTTTCTTTGTCTTTGTATGCCCGAGCTAAATCAGCGTACCTGCAGAAATCACATGGTTAGAATACTGATCTATTCTGTACTGTACTGTACTTCAAACATGAAATAAAAGTCTGAAAAGTTTATGAGTATAACTTTTACATCGATTTAGTGATAAAAAAAAATAAGATAAATGTACAAATGGGGAATTCAATCCGAACTCTCATCTTATAACCATACACAGATCAGGTATTTCAAGTACTGTACAGTCAACCCTCGCTTTACGCGGTCCCACTTTACGCGTTTCCACGTTTACGCGGTACCCTGCCGAAACCGGAATGCTCACTTTCCGCAGTGCGTGTACCCCTTTACGCGGAGAGCGGCTGGCGAGCCGGCCATTTTTGGATTCAAACCTCCCGCCATCTCTCCCGCCATCCGCCATGTTGTGTAAGCAGCGCGAGTAGGTTGCGCAGTGTGTGTCTTTGTTGCGTTATCAGTGACGTCATATAACGTATCGGACTGTGATTGGGCCATGCATCCTTACCTCCCTCCGCTGCTAGCTGTGATTGATTTAAAGTAATATGACGTGTCCACCCGTGGGAGGGAGGGAGGAAAGACAACACTTGACCTAGCCGCGGCAGTTTCATCCCTCCAGGCCACACCGTGTATACGTGAATCCATTGTTCTGTAAAATGGCTTCCGCCGGACCACCGCCCCCAGAGAGAAACCTTTCCTTACCTGGACCCAGCCGCCCTAAGCCAAAGAAGACACGACGTTCCTTAAGCTACGAAATTAAGTATAAGATCATACAAGAGTTGGAGAAAGGAACAAGACAGGTTGATCTCGCACGCCAGCATGGTGTTAACGAGTCTACGATCGGGACAATTAAGAAGGATGCAGCCAAGATAAAGGAGCACATGAACATCACAAGAAGCGCTCAACAGCGCTCTTCTACTAACGTAAGTGTTAACCCCAGCCTTGTTTTTTTCTAACCTAACCTTCAGTTTATTCTTCTCTTATTGACTGTTCCCTTCTATATTATGTGCGGGTGAATACCATCATAAAGTTAAGAGGTTATGTTTAGTAAAACGTACGTATTGTGTCGGGAAAAAGTGGAGTTTGGGGGTTGGCCCGGTCTCTATTTCAATTAATCCCATATGTTATGTTGTTCACTTTACGCGTTTCTTACTTCACGCGGGCCGCTGTGGGTTGAATTAACCGCGTAAAGTGAGGGTTCACTGTACAGTCAAACAAGTCTATGGGCTGAAAACCAATGACTTCAAGGACTCCCAACACTGTTACTGGAACTAAATAAAATATTACAGGGATGAAACAAAGCAAGAGTGTTGACTCATCCTGACTAGTTGACTGGAAAGGAAGAACCAACCCTTGAAATAATACTTTTTTAGCTGAGACATGTGAGGGTTCAGAAGTGTTTGTGTTAGTACAGTATGATGGAGTAAACGTGTAGATTTCTGTATTGAGTGGTATCTTTATATTAAGTGAATAGGGTTCTGAAAGGCAGGTCAACAAGTTTTATAATGATTTTCAGTGAACAATTTTGGGATTCCTGGGAACCCTAGGTTTGGTTATACTGTACATAAACTGCCTAATATGAACATCAGACCATGAAAGATCAGGATTATATAACTTAAAAAAATATTTAATCAAAAGAAAATACTGTAGTAAACAAGCTTAGAAGTAAAGCACTTTGTATGTCAGATACTGGCAAGCATAAAAGGTGTTATTATCCTGAAATTACTGTACTGTAATTTCATGCTATGACCTTACACAGTCAAACATTACAAATAGGGTAAAAATGAAAAATACTGGGACTCATAACACAAGCCAATAATACAGATTAAAACTACACATGCAAGACTTAGTAGGATATAAAGCATTTTGAGGAAGGAATAAAGATAAGTCAAGGGTCAGAATTACCTCATCTTTATAAAGTCAATGTTAAACAAAAGACAAACTACCAAAAATAAGATCTCAAACTAGAAACAAGTTACTGTACCTGAGATACTACTGATGACCTAACCATAAAGTACTCAAAGATTGCTTACATATACACATGCAGTACTGTACTTACTTGTAAACCAGCTAAAAGATAACAAGAAAAACCCAAAGCAATAATACACAATACAGTACCTCATGATAATACACATACTACACTATACTGTACTGTACTGTACTGTACTGTACTGTATTTCTAATTTAAAGACTACTAATTGAAATACTGACTTATACATTTTAGATAGCTAGGTTGCTTATGTCTTTTTTTATAATGTGAAAGTCACGGCCCAACACCAAATTTGACTCAGGGCTGTTGTGAGTAACCAGGAGCCCCAAGAAAGGATAGCTACAGTTGCCCACAGGTGTACTGATCCACCCCTCAGTGGCTTTTCCAAACATGTGACCAACAATATATTTTTGGGGTGACATTTGTACTTGATATTTATACAAAGTGATATGATAGATGTAATATCTGTAAAGAAAGTTCAACTATGACTCAAACATTGCCGCATGTTTGTAAAGGTCAACGAGGTGTGGAACACTATACCTGTGAGCAACTGTACAGTCGGTCATAGTTCCACCTGGTACAATGGTTGGTGCATTTTCTGAAATGTGGCAGCTCTGTGTTAACATGATAATAAAACTCCCAGAATGACCTGATAGTAGTCAGAGTAATGATAAAAAATAAGCAATCCTCCACTATTTCTGAATCCAAACATTTCTTGCCCCAGGTGTTATTCCAAAAATTAACATTAAGAGTAATATTTTGTAAACAGAATAAAGCAGACAGGAAGGAATAATATTTTACTGATTTATCTCAATGTTAACTTACACAGATTGAGGATTACCTGCTAAAGACATTACACTGGTACACCTGTTCCCCCCCCCCCGCCCCCCAGGCTCACTTTCCTTCTACCGCCTTACGTCACGTCACCCTTGACCACCGAAGGGTCAAGACGTACCTGGCGCTGTTCTGGCAGCAGCCAGGTCAACTGTTATGTTGGCCCATACCAACTCCCTCCCCTGAACCCTCTTCCCCACCGGAATATCAACAAGTTCTAGCCAGAAGTTACTATTTCATTTAGGAAAGGAGTGGAACCAGTGTTGAACAGAGGTGAACAGTGATGAACAGTGCCTAAGTCAGTGAAAAACAACTCAACAGTAACAGCCGAGTCGTACCCAAGCTAACCTTCACACAGTGAGGTCCCAGGTACCCAGTGATAACTGCCCCTGAGACTCAACAACACCAGCTATGTGTTAATCCGTCCACGATAGGGAGGCCTGGGACCACACCTCACTCACTTGAATGAGTGAGGTCCTGTGACACCAGACCACGTTGTGTCCCCATGATGCTACGACACCACGTAGTGAATGAGCTGCTACAGCATCATCTGAGGTTCCTCACAACACCATCTGTGAGGGAATTACTACACCACATCAGGTCCTTCATAACACCATGTGAGGGAATTACTAAACCACATCAAGCCCCTCATAACACCACCTGTGAGGGAACTACTACACCACGTGATGCCCGTCATAACACCATCTGTGAGGGTTACTACATTACCTGTACGTGTCTGCTGTTCAACACCTCAACGCAAATGATCTACGTGACCTCCACTGTAAACATTAATCTGTATGTTCACTGTATGTTCCTTTACCTTTCTCCAATGAAGGCTTTTGTTAAACCACCAATGTATGTACAGTAATAAGTCATTTATGTCTAATGTATATTTTCAGCCTTCGGGCTGCAGAACTTTTTCAATAAACCGTTAATTATTATTATTTATAATTACCATTGTGCCAGGTGGAACTGTGCCTGAATGTACCTGGGCCTTAGCATACTCATTGACTCATTGTCAACAGCTGAAATTCCTGATTCAATACTAGAATAACTCGCCCCCAGGGCCCTCAGAGTGAGGGGATGGGAGATCCAAGTGACAGCAAAAAACATAATCCTACCAATTGACAAATTTTATGAAAATTACATAATATCCATAATATCAAATACATACCATACTAGAAATGTTACGGTATGTCTACAAAAAAAAATTTATTTGCTTACATTTTCTGTTTATTGATCAATTATTTTGTTAAAACAGTAATCCTAAATATCATCTCCCTAATTGTGACCTCCCAAGGGATTTTATCACTGTATCTCCACCCTCTCGGTGAGCCTGAATATTCTATTCAGTACAATATATCTTGTGGTATTCAAAGCTGTGTCATATAGTAAAAATGCCTCAAGGTTGCTGAATTGAATAAATATGAATACCAAAATAATATATCACTGTTAGGATAACTTACAGTGTTAGATAAATTTTCAGAATGGTTTCTCTCTATATATCATCTTTCTTCTGCTGCCACCTTGTGTATGGGGTGGATAAAAGGGAAGAGAAGCCTCAGGAGAAGAAATGGTAAAAGAAAGCAAAGCACTAAGTTGAGGATGTGGCAGGCATGGAATAAGAGAGCCAGTGTGAACATTTCACAACCACTTTCTCATAACCTCAACTTGCTAAAACTTATCAAATAAATCCTTAATCTCAACATCAATAACTTTGAAGGTTACAAGTGTTCCCTGAAGAAGGCAGTGATGGGTAGGGAAACACCGGGCAACACTGAAGTCCATTTATTAACGGATAGGAGAAATACAAGTGGTGACTAGCGTGTGCCATGCATGGCCCACAGAGTCAGACTGAGACTGCCTTGCCATATGGCAGCCTCGGGGCAATGTTGCCACATAACACGTGCAGTGTTGCCACGTGATTAGATATGTAAATGCTACTCGGCACAGTAGCTTAGATACATAACCTACATCTCCCCCCCCCCATGCTCATAGTCTGTCTTGAGCGGACTTCTTAGTCCTAAGTCGCTCCGAGCGTCGAGGTGCACTGTGGGGCGGATCCTCGTGAGGTGTAGAGGACTCATCCTCGGTCAGGGGGCCAGCAGCAGGGGGTGGGACTGGCCGGAGGAAGCTGCGGTTCCTCCACCAGACACGGCCGCTCGGCATCCTGACCTTGTAGTCCCGCGACCGGCCGACGCCC